TGATCGATTAGAGGTTTGTCAACTTCTAGGTTGATGTTTTTTTTTTCCCTTGATTTATTGGTAGAGTCTTTAAAGTCTAATTTTTGTCCCCATTTTAACTCAAATTTTTTTTTTTAAAATTTTAAAAAAATCATAACTAAGACAAAATTAATATATGCTGGACCCTGATATACTAGTTTTTCCTCAGGAATTCCATAACACTGCTGCTGGGAGAGGTTCTGCCTCTTGCATACTTCCACTGGGATCAAAAGATGGGGAACCGACTGCTATTTTCTCTAAAAAGGAGATTGCTGACTTAAACTTGGAGGTTCAATTTACTCTAATTGGCAAATTCAGCTTGGGACACCAAAAGATGGAACTTGTAAGGAAATACTTTGACTCCTTGAAAATCTTGAAAATATCAGAGTGGAAGCTTCTACTAGATGGCAGGCATCTCCTAATCCAGCTGACGAAGGGAGAGGACTATGCCAGAATCTTTGCCAAACAATCCATCATCACAGCTGGAACAGAAATGAAAATTTTGAAATGGTCTCCTCATTATGACCCCTCACAAGAACCTCCCACAGTGCCTATTTGGTTTAAGCTACCTAAATTGCCATTGCACCTATTTAAATTGAATGCCTTGTACAATATTGTGTGCACCTTGGGTACACCTTTGAAGGTAGATGCTGCCACTTATAACAAAGCCAGACCAGCCAGTGCAAGAATCCTAGTGGAAAGGGATGTTACTCTTCCTGATGTTAAGAGGATCTGGAGTGGGGACACTCTGAGGGGGTTTTGGCAAGAAGTTATCATGGAGCAAAGACCCCATTATTGCCAACATTGTAAAATGTTTGGACATACTAAGGAGAAATGCTATAGGTTAAACCCCCTAACAGAAGGGTTTATCACCACCCTCAGCAGGATTTGGTTGATGCCAACAAAAATCTCCTGGATATTGGAACTAAGGAAGTGCACAAGAAGATCTCCACTATAGCAGGGACAGAAGAGACTCTCATCCAACAAGAATTATCCTCTGTGCTAGGGACAGTTGAAGATGTAAGCAATATTGCTGGCCAGAAACTTACAAAGGATAAAAATTTGGTGATCCATTCAGAGGTTGAGACAGTTGGGGAGGTGATGCTAGATCCCTTGTCTCCCAGAAATTTAAAGAACCATGTGGTGGCTTCCCCCAGCCAGATCTTGGCAGAAGCAATGAATAAAGAACTGGAGTCAGATTGGCAAATTCAGAAAACTAAAAAGAAAAAGAACTACAAATCAGAAGAACAGAATCTTGGAAAAGGAAAGGAACTTCAAGCTTTGGAGGTTTCTACCAATGAGATAAAAAAGTCTCTAACAAAACTAGAGAGAGGACTTGGTCCTGGTCTCAACCTTACTCTTCTCCCCCCTCCCCATGATCAATTTACTGTGCTGGAACATAAGGGAGATAGCCCACCCCTTATCCTTAAAAATTCTCAAATATATAAATAAAAAACACAAACTTTGGTGCATAGCCATTTTGGAACCTATGGTCCATCTCAACACCTTAAAAATTGCTAAAGCCTTCCCTGACTTCAATCTGTTCACTAATATCAACAACAAAATTTGAGTTTTCTGTAGGAAAGAAATGAAGTGCTCTATCTTACTTAACCATACTCAAATCTTGCATATGAACCTCAACTTTGTGGATATGGAGGTGTTTGCTTCTTTTGTCTATGCAGGAAGCTCTAAAGTTGCTAGAATTGATCTGTGGGAATCCCTGCAGCTCATCCAAGGATCAATTGATAAGGTGTGGCTTGTGGGAGGAGACTTCAATTGCATATCCTCTCCTACTGTGATGAAGGGGTGCAGACGTGCAGACCTCCCAACCCTACAATTATATCATTTTTTAATGATAATATTCAAAAAATTGGGTTATTTGACCTTGGTTTCAGTGGCCCTATCTTTACTTGGAGAAGAAAGGACATGTGGGAAAGGTTGGATAGAGTGCTTGACAATGATAGTTGGATCCAAAATTTTCTGCAGACATCCATCACTCACTTAAGCCTTAATTATTGGCAAGCACTCTTGTCAATATTTAAAATATTGTCAAAAATTTTCTGCAGACATCCAAAATTTTCTGCAGACAATAGTGGAAGCACTGAAATAATTAGGCTGGTTCAGACCACAGGCCTTTACTGATCTCTATAGGGAATAAGGTGACAAGCCAAAAAAGCTCTTTCAGATATCTGAATGTGTGGTCTCAACACTTTAACTTCTTGAATATTATTAAGGAACATTGGAAGAATGACCTTCACCCTGACCCTTTGATCAACCTGTGGATTAATCAAAACAAGGTGGGCAAAGCTCTTAAACAGTGGAGCTGGGACACTTTTGAGGACCTTCTGCTGATTGTGGATAAGGTTGAAAAGGAGGTAATTGATCTGGAGGAGGAGCATAGCAAAGGGAGGATTGATGAAGCTGTTCTTCTTGAGGCAAATGAGAAACTCTTAAATGCTGTCCAGTGGCAGGAACAATTCCTACAACAAAAGGCTGCCAAAACCAAATTTACTGAAGGAGATAGAAACACCAAGTTCTATCATGCATGCATCAAATAACAGATAAAATGTAACACTATACACTCCATCAAGGACCAGAATGGAACTTGGCTCAGGCAAGAAGAGGACATTGCTGAAAGTGTTGTGCAGTACTGCCATAACCTTATGAATGGGAAAGTGAAAGAGTGCATATTGATAGCATATTGATAGCAATTTGTTTGCAGAGAACAAATAGTTTACTGCCAATCTGCACTGATGAGGAGGAGATTAAAATAGCTTTGAATTCCATAGACAGTTCCACATCTACTGGCCCTGATGGGTTTACTGCAGACTTCTACAAGAAAGCCTGGGATGTTATCAAGGTGGAGGTGATCAAAGCTATCCAACATTTTTTCAAAGTTAACTCCCTACCTAATTATTCCAGTGCTTCCACTATTGTCTTCATTCCAAAGACCTCTATCAAGGATAGGTGGAACCATTACAGAACCTTGAGTCTTAATAATGTTATAAGCAAAACTATAAGCAAAATTATTGTACACAGACTCCAACCAATATTACCTCAACTTGTCAGCAATAACCAAGCTACTGTTGTGAAAGGCAGAAGCATTGGGGATAACATCCTTCTGGATGAAGAACTTCTAAAAGATTTGGAGAAACCTTGCAGAGGGGGAAAGGCCATCTTTAAGCTTGATTTGATGAAGGCTTATGACATGGTGAACTGGGATTTCATTATTGAATGCTTGGAGGCTAAGGGCTTTTCCAGGGAGTGCTGTCAGATTATTAAAAGATGGATGAAGGATAATACAAATTCTGTGTTCATAAATAGAAAAGCTCATGGATTCTTTAAAGCTTCTATAGGACTCAAATATGGGGACCCTCTATCCCCCACCATTTTTATCCTGGTCCTAGATTACTTCTCTAGACTTATTGATTGCAAGGAGAATAGAAAAAGCTTCAATACTTATCATAATAGAGCTAAGATGGATATCAGCCATCTGATCTATGCTGATGACATTCTGATGTTTACTAGGGCTAATAAGTCTGCTACCAAGTTCATTATGGAGTGCCTACAAAATTTCCAACAGGTGTCTAGTCTAAAGGTAAACAAGGATAAATGTGAGATACTGATCAGTAAAAGAGCCTCCCTACCAATCAAAAAATGGATGCACTCTTACACTGGATTCTCTAGCTTGAACCTTCCTTTCAAATATTTGGGGATTCACTTGATAAGAGGAAGAACAAAGTTGATTCAATTTGATGAGGTTATTGATAAGATAATCTCTACTCTTCAGGGGTGGTCTAACTCTTATTTGTCCAATGGTGGAAGGATCACCCTCCTTAAGAGCATTCTTACCTCTATCCCTTTGTATGTACTTCAAGTGGCAACAATGAAAAAAAGCACCTCTTTGATGCTAAAAAGAACCTTCAATAGATTCCTTTGGGTTGGGAACAAAAAACAAGTGGCTTGGGCAAGCTGGCAAAAAGTGGCTAAACCTTGGGAGGCTGGTGGTTTGGGTTTTGAAGGATTACACCAGATGCAACACATCAGCCTGTGTAAGCTTTGGATTAAATTCAGACAGAATGAAATCTTATGGGCCAAGTTCATGCAGGCCAAATACTGCAAATTCGATCACCCCGGGAGGTCACTAGGAAGGTGGGAGACTCCAAAATTTTGATTCAGATGCTAAAGGTCAGGGAAGATATTGAAAAGCTGCTAATGGGCTAAGATGGGAGCTGGGCCATGGGGATATCAATTTTTGGAAGGACAATTGGTGCCCTACAGAATTATTGGAACCTTTGCAGGATGAAAAGGAGGGAGATCTACTGGTCAAAGACAGTTGGAATGGCAATGTTTGGTCTGAGGACACTTTGAGGAGTATTCTGAAGAATCATTCTGTCAGCTCCATTTCAACTATCCAATTTGATAGGAACAATAAAGATCAACTTAATTTGAGAAACAGGACCAGGGCAAGTATTTCAAAGGATATCCATAATAATTTGTATAGCTGGGACATTTGCCAGTGGAATGTATTCTCATGCCAAAAACACCTTACCCCTTCCATGTTGTTCTTTTCTTGGGGAGTCCTAAACAATTTACTTCCTACTGATGATATCCTGAAACTTAAAGGTCTGAAAGGGCCATCTAGATGCCATCTCTGCAAGCTTGACCAGGATTCCAGGGATCACTTATTTTTCAGGTGCAAATTTGCTAGGGAGGTTTAGAATAGATTGACCTCCCAAATGAATATTAACCTAATAAATATTGGTTGGGATAACATAATAGATTTTATTAAAGATTGGCAGGAGATTAACCTCATGCCAATCCCCTTCATTGTTGCTTGGTTCCTCTGGATGGCTAGGAACAAGGCCAAACATTAGGAGAGGGAGGTCAGCTCTACTAGGGTGAAGATTAACTGCTTGACACATCTAAATAAGTTGATAAGTTGGAGGAGGTTCCCTAAGATCCTGCAGACCTTACCCACCATGGATGCTAATAATATTAAGATCATCAAGGTTAGATGGGAGAGACCTCCTTACCCATTCATTAAAATCAATACTGATGGAAGCTACACAAACAAGAGAGCAGGTATTGGGGTAATTTTTAGGGATCACATAGGGCATACTTTGCTCTTCTATAAGGCCCCATATATTGCTGAAGATGCTTTGGAAATTGAAGTTGCTGCTCTTTATTCGGCGTTAAAGTTTGCTAAGGATAACAAGTGGAAGTGGATTTCTGTTGAAGTGGACTCCTCCCTGCTGGTGGAGCTGCTGACTATTAAGATTTCTTCCCCTTGGCACATTAACCAATGGATTCACAAGATTAAAAATTTTAGCCTTGAAATTAAGATTCATTTCTCTTTTGTGTATAGGGAAGTAAACAAGCCTGCTAACTTCCTGGCTATGGAGGGTGCAAATGCTGAGCATGCTGAAGTCTCCACAACCCTCTCCCCCCCACTCCACCTGTTAACTCAGGGGGACAAACTCCAAATTCCTTACCTAAGAGTGCAAAAACAAATGCTGGGACCATAGTTTAATGGTCATGAGTCGTGCTGGTCTTCCATTGAGGCTGAGCTCCTTGTTTCTTAGTTGTTTTGTCTTGTTTGGGTGTATACTTGTATTTTCTGTTTACTTACGTTTGTTATGTTGGAGAGGGCCCCTGCCTAGGCTATTTTTTATTGGTGTATGCTTTATATATATA